GGGGGGGGGGGGGGAGGCGATCAATAACGAGAAGGGGCCCAGAAGGCGATCGGGGCGCTAGATAGATACGCCAGTTATATGTGTCTTCTACACAGCCGCTGCTTACTCCACGGTAAATAGTGGGAGAGCGGTTGGGCAGCCGCTATGCTATCTGCGGTGCAACATAGGTGGCCCAACAGCAGCAGCAGCGCCTGTGCTGCTGTAGAGCCAAGAACGCGTCGTGGCGGCGAGAGCAAGGCTACAGCGCAGCAGTCACCTGGTGATCTCCGGCAAGGCGCAACAAGGCCACCGTGTACCGGTACACGTCCGGGTCGAACAGGGAGTGGAGCCGGTGCAGCGTCGCGAGGGCGCGCGCCGCGCCCGCGTAGTCGTGCGCCGCCATGAGCGCCCTCAGCAGGAGGTGGACGTGCTCGGGAGCGTCTCTCCGCGACAGGCTCCAGGTATTGCTCGCGCCGGGGGGCCCGAAGGGGGACGCGATGTTGAAGAAGCTCTCCGAGTTGGTGAAGCGCACCCTGTGGGTCGGGGGCTCCAGCAGCTGCGGGTCGTTGACGCTGAGGGGACCCGCCAGGCCCTTCCGGTTAACGTCGTAGGTCCCACGCAAGCTACTGCCAGCAGGCTGGGGTTGATGCTCTTGCTTGGCGACCGCGCTCGCGGTCGAGTTTTGGGAGCTCCGTTGCCAACCCGGAAGTCCCCCTTCGTCTTCCGCGTCCTCTGCTTTCGTGGTGTGGTTCCAGATAGCGGCGGGGAGAGGAGGGGTTGGCGAAAAGGTCATCTTGCCTCTTTGCACAGGTGTGCTGCTGTGTACGCAGCAAGCTGATGTATGGAGCGCGGAAGTGTCGACGGCAGAAGTACCGCGCAAAAGAGCACACTGCTGTCGAGCTTGCCATGATATTCCGCGGCACATATTGTCTAAATAGGGACAAGCGAAGTTTAGTTTGACAAAGATGGTGTGCCTGGCATCGTTGTAAGCAACACGGAAAAGTTCCCACAGAGCCTACAGCTGCAGTGCGCCAGTGCAACACACAATGAGGTGCTGGACGCGGAGGGCGCGAGGCGGAGAGGGTGGTCGAAAAAAGGTGCAAACACGGGTTTGCAAAACAAGACCAAAATCCTTTTGGATGTCTCTCTCAAAGGAACCCGTCGCACCTTCCCATTCAGGGGCTTGTGACCCCCAGATGAGTGGTTTCAGCATCGTTCCGGTGTGGGGGAGTGAGAAGGGCAGGGGGAGAGGGGAGTTGGATTGGCTGGGGTGAAGCACCGGTGACCCGGTGTGCCCGGTCGGTAGCCGGGCGACAGTCCTGCGTGCAATAATGCGGCGCAATAAGTTATTTACCCACAGACCACAGACCACAGACTACAGACCACAGACCCAACAGGTCTCAGGTGCCGCGCCGACAGGGCATCGCTGCACACAGTAAGGAGCAGGGGTGATGGTACGGTACACCAAGATCACCTGACTCTTCTTACACGGGTTGTCTCTCTGCCTGCCGGCCTGTCTGCCTGTCGATCTGTCTGCCTGTCTCCCGCTCTCGCTAATCTTCCGTGTGCAAAGTGAGTCGATGGCAGTCAACGGACATGATTGTTCAATGACACCAACAGCACTCCTGGCACAAGTGTTCGAGCTGGCTGATGGTTCGGATCACACCCCTGAGACAACCAATAGCGCCCTGTTTCGAAAATTGCTGCGGAAGTACTTCAGCCATGAAGCTGGGAGTCTCCGCAGCGGCGACATGATCCACCTGGCTTGCAGCGAGCTCTGCAGCAGACTTGCCGAGATGGAGTGCCGCCCTCCGGACGGCTGGGCGAGCATCGTGGTGACGAGCCTCTTCCTCCTCACCGCAAAGGACTGCAGAGAGGAGCTAGTGATGCACATGTGGCGAGTTGTTGCGCACCCGGCAGAAGAAAAGTATGACAACGGACTCGGACGAAAACTTATGAGGCAAGCTGCGGTGGCTGGCGGAACGGCGGAGCCTGGGGCACGGAGCCTACATTTAGCCCTCATGAGCCTTGTTGTCGACACCCTCCGGCGTAACGGATGCCCCCCGGAACCCGATTCTTTGCGATCAAGCGGCAGCAGCGTGGCGCGCAGAGGAACGGAAAAAGAGAACGAGGAATCCCTTGTCCCCTCGCCGTGCGGGCTACGGCTGGCGCTTGACGTAGCGTCGCATACCCTCGAAACGTGTCTCCACCACGAGGAGGGCGAGGGAAGATGTGTCCCTCCCGAAGTCAGTGCAGAGGTGTTTGAAGCTTGGCGAAGGGCCGTCCACCTGGAGGTTTGTTCGTCTCGGGAGGGGGCGGTTGCTTCCTTATGATTGCCTGATCGCTTTCCGAAGGGCCTATCTACTGTACGCGTTGACCTGGACTGCGACTGCCCATATGCTGGTGTTGCACAAACATGCGCAGTCTATTATCTGCTACGCTGTACTTTTGCGGCAAGCTACACAGTTACCCTTCGGTATGCACGCCGTTCCCCTTCGGTGTTCACCTAGCAGGCGCGCGATGCGCGTCGAGCGCTGTCGTCTGCCGTTTCGGCACGCCGTCACGTGTTTGACGGAGCTTGGTGCCTTGTTTTACTTGCTGTCCGTCATCCTACACACCCGCCCCTTGTCTCGTCCTCGAACCTTCGATTTCTGTCTCAGAAAATGCTACTGCTGTAGACTGTAGACTACGCTAGTCTATATCTATTTCTGGCAGAACTCTGCTTTCCATGCTACACACACGACTGCGAAACATCCGCCTTCAAGCAGACATGTTGCGCGCAGTGCTGCAGGAGCGAGGCCTGCAACTCTTTCGTCTAGGCCCGTTGACGGTGGCGGCGGCCAACCGTTTCACCCCGATGACATTGATTTTTTGAAAAAATGATGCATGTAGCCCGCTCCCTTTCCAGGTTATTCGTCTTGTGCGCTCCTGCCGGTTGGAGAACATCAACGAGCTGGTGCTGTCGATCGCGAGGCCACTATACAAGGGCTGGGGGGACGTCGGAGCGCTCGAGGATGTGTGGTCCTTGATAGCCAGCTCTGTGAGGGACTCCAGCACACTCCTCGTCACGATTTTGAAGAGGAGTAGCGGCCGCGTACTTGGAGTGTGTCTCCACAAACGGCTGGCCTAAGGCCGCCGTCGCTGCTTGGATTTTGGACCACTTGGCGTTCTCGCTGGCCTAAAGCACGATGGATGCAGACGTGGTTGAGTTGACGGCGGTTCATCGTCTAGTTTGTCTACCCGCAAGCACGCCTTTGCTTTCGATACCCCCCCCCCCCCCCCC